GCTTTAATCGACAGCGATGTGAACACCAAGCACGTCTCAAACTAGTCGCGGCCACAGCTGTACGTGGACCCCATGAGTTGTCAGTGTTCGTTAGCGTGAATAGTTCTATCGTCATTAAATTATCGTCATTAAAATACATTCAACTTAAAGTTTGAAGTGTCAAATGAAGGGTAAAAACGCGCTCTGTCAAAGCTAGGATTAAAGGGGCACCTAAAATAATAGGATACATAGGAATAATTTCAATTGTAGGGTAGATGTTCCAGAGATAGGACATTGCAACTGTCCATTTGCATAGGCTATCATGTTTTTTTTTTCGCAACACAACCAGTTAAAGCTAGTATGTGAGAGTTCAAGATAAGACGAGTAAGAAGATGTTTAAAACACCCATCCGATTTTGAGTTACATAACTAAAGCTGGTGGTGATTTTCGGCATATTTGAAGACTCCCGCCTTCTCGAAGAAAAAGTTGTAGTTCACAGTTTTGACCGTATATAAATGATCAAAGTGACGCTGACTTTCTGGAGAAGAACCATGGTTACTCGCTTGCTTTAGGCTACTGAATTGGTGGATATTACACATAATAAAAAGCATGAGTAGCGGATATTAAGTGGGAAGGATGGGTTTTAGTGAGGACACCGTTCCTTATCAGAACACTGTACTGCCATTCGTCATTAAGAAGTTCAGTGGTCTGCATGTGGTAATTCGATTTTACGACTTCAAATTCGAAAAGAAAAAATCAGGAAGTCTCTAATTGCTCTCTGCCTTGGAATTCAACATTTCGGCCTTTTTCTTCTTCCGTTTGCATTTTGAAGCTACTATTGCTTCTCGCATCAGGTGTGGCGCAGTCAAAGGCTCGCAGAGTGCAGTGTTAGAGCTGAGAAAATCCTCGATGCTGACAGAGATGGACTAATTGAAATCCCTGTGGACCACTCCAAAAGCGACTCTTCATAATGATGTGCGTCACTAACCATAAGACCTAGTAATAATGCACAGTAGGGAACCTAAAAGTTCGCAACATCTCCACTATTTAGGGCACCCACTTACACTTGGGCCTAAGCCTCAGAGCGGGAAGGAATTGTGTGAGAGGGTATGAGCGAGCAGTTAGTGTTTCGCTTGGCGTT